AGGAAAATGAATAAGGAAGTACAAATTTAGCGTTTTAAAATGATCAAACCAAGATAAGACCTAAAGCCCATAGAAATGCATAGGACTTGAACAATTCATGCTAGAAAACTGTAAAATGTTATTGTTAGAGCAGTTTGCCTTCATGGATAAAATGGATAAACATTACTATACAGCAATGTGAGAGTCTTACCAACTACTACAGGAAGTGTTTGGTAGTGTTACTGCAATTAAAGATAATATTGCACATAGAAAGCGAAACATTTAGAAAACCCCAAGAAACAAAAACAATCACAGAATTATATAATAATAATTTTCAGCAGACAGCAATTTCTTTCAGTATCATAAGGTACAATTCAACTAGCTTCTATAGGAAAATGAAAGATATATTAATGGTTTGAGCCGGTCCTTCTCCATCCTTCCATCTCCCAAAAAGCTGTTTAATTTTATACATTATTCTGAATATTTTTAAGGTTAATTATTATATATTGGAAATTCTAAATTGTGGCTTTTCTATGATGATAGCTTATCAGTCTTTGTACTGTTTATAGCTGATACACTGATTGTTTTAGCTGAGCCTAGTGAATTTCTTAAATCTTAGTTTAATTGAAAGATGAAAAAAATAGCATTGAAAGGATTGGTGTTTTACCATGCTCATTAACAAATTTATTGACTGAACTGGCATTACTGCATTGGATCTTATACTTTCTGAAAGCCTAGTGACACTACAGTATAGCTTGAGAATTTGTTCATTCTCTTTGCCTATGGCGTTTTTTTAATTCTCCCAAAGTGTAAGGGAATGAAAGTGGGAGGCAAATTATGTCATTTTATTATTCTCCTGCATTCAAAATCCTTTTGCATTCCTGCAGCATATTCAGAGTATTAGAGGAAACTAACTATGAAAAATAAAGTGTTCCATTAATTCTGGCTGAAAATGTCAAAAATAAAAGTTAAAACCATGAAGAAATTACCAAAAGTCTTATTTAGTGGTAAGGTACCTATTTTATTGACATTCCTAATTTCTGCTTGGATAATCATAAGGAAAGATATCCAAATGAAAATAAGAATATAACATAGTGGGGTTCTTTTGCCGTATTAATATGTATGCCTCTGTATATTTTTCCTTACTTAGGTATCTGAAAATCAGCATTTGGATCACCTAGCTGAAAAGCTGGAGCAGAGTGAGAATAATGGTTCGGTAAGATTGTCAGCATTCTTACAATAATTGTCTCCTATCTAATTCATATACCATTACTGCATATTTTGTTTAGAGATTTATATATCCAGCATATAATATGATTCAATATATGCTAAAGCTCAAGGTTAGTTGTTTTCAGTTTAGTATGATATACAGGTAGTCCTTGACTGATAACAAAAGTTGTGACCAGATTATTTGTTGCTAAGCAAGGTGGCTGTTAAATGAGTTGTGTGCAATTTTATGACCTTTTCGGCCATGATTGTTAAGTGAACACTGCAGTTGTTAAGTGAATCACATAGTAATTAAGCAAGTGTAGCTTCTGACATTGACTTTCTTGGCAGAATCTAGCTGGGAAAGTTGCAGATGTTGATCATGTGATCCCAGGATTCTGCAACCATTGTAAATAAATGATTACCAAGCATCCAAATTTTGATCATATGACATGGAGATGCTGCAACAATCATAAGCATATGTATTGGTCATAAGTCATGTCTTTCAGTGTTGTTGTAAATTTGAATGGTTGCTAAACAAATAGTTGTAAGTCAAGGACTATCTTTACAGACTCAACCATTATGGTATAAGGTAATTTACAACCTGGTCTCTATGATTTGTTCATTAATTGATTGATTATGTGACATCTAGTTACATAGGCAGATGTGCTATCAACCACATAGGTAGATCTTGTCCATGACAATCTGTACCTAATCCGGTCTTCCAATGATGTAAATACCACAGTCCACCTTGTTGCTGGTTGCTCTCTTTCTTTCCAACTTAACTAGCATTAGAGCCTTTTCCAAAGAGCTACGTCGTCATGTAATGTCACAGAAATAGGATAATTTGAGCCTTGTAATTTGTGCCTTAAATTAGAATTGCCCAGTTGTTTGTTTTCTTGGTTATCCATGGTATTTTCAGGAGTCTTCTACAACACCAACATTTAAAAGCATCCATATTCTTTCTATGCTGCTTCTTCAAATCTGATTTTTACATCCATAGAATGTCACAGAGAATACCATGGTTTACAATATTTTGATCTTCATCTGTACAGACATCATGGCAATTGAATACTGAGTTCTTTTTGGTATTCTTTGCTTTCTAAAACGTGGAAGGATGCCTGCAACTTTTCTCCCTTTTTGAGACTGTGCTGTTCTTGTGTCAAAGATGCAATCTCTTGCTAGTCTGTCCAGTTACATGTTTGAAGCTATAAGAAGTTATAGAAATAGTAACAAATGGTGCTGATATTTATGTAATGATCAAGATAGTCTTGATTTCTTGATAAGTCTTATTTCTCGTAGGAAACAGCTGTGCAACTTTCTAGTTTTTTTAACAGTCTAATCTGCCTTCCATTTTGTCTTGCTCTACAGCTGCCTAAACTCTATCAAAAAAAAATTGCCGTTAAAACAGGATATTCAGAGATTAGTTGATAGAAACACGTACATGAAAATCATACTCATGACATATGCCACAGAATGTGGCATACATGAAGCTAATACTTGGCAAATTGTTTTGCTGTTAGTCTCACAATGTTAACATGTCATAATCTAATTAAGCATCCTTAAATGAGTTAGTACGATGGTATTTATGGCCCAGTTAGGTTGGGGCACCTAGTAGAATTTTGCTGATCTTCGAAAACTGAACAAGGTTATAGTACTTGGAAGTGAGTTCATCAAGAATAATAGGATTGTATACTACTAGAGTGGGACTTGAAGCATGATTTCAGAAGGTGGAAATGGCAAATTATATCAATATATTGCCAGGAAAATATTAAGGAAAATGCCCAATAAGTCATCAAGAAGATTTCACCTTTTATTTGTGACTTTCAAACTTCTGAATGCTTAGTGAACTGAAGTACCTTTGTGCAGAGCAGTCTTTCAAATCAGATTGCTGGTGAAAGTGGCTTCTTTCCCCTAGCACTGTTTCTCCCAGAATAGATGAGGCAAAGGTACTTTGGCTTCAGGGGTGTAAGGACAGATTGATGTATGTGAATTCCTCCAAAGAATGCAGAATAGGGCAAATGTTAAAATAGTTGGATGGTGAAAACAGCTTCACTCCATTTACAAGAGAAGTCCCAGTGCATGCACCTGTTATCTGAAAATCAGATACTGTACATGCATTAATATACAAAGATAATTTATTACTTTTAGCATCCATCCCAATATGATGTTTGCAATATTATTTCTGAGTGTTTAAAACTACTTAAAATAATCATAGGAGGAATGGCTAATTAGAACTGATCAATATACTGAATAAATGGGCACCGGACCCTGAGTAGACTGACAGCAGGTTCAGAGGAAGTTATCATGGGCTATAGATAATTAATTAAAATAAGCAGCTTCCTTTGGCTGGAACAGTAGCTTTGAGACATAGTCTTATACTTCATTTGCAATCGCTTGCCATTAGGAAATGCAAGACCCATGAAATTATATACTAGAGATTATGTTTTAATAGTTTTATAATTATTCTTTTACTGCCTTGTGTCTTCAGCTTAGCTTAGACCTAACAATTTAAAGTTGGCATGGCCAAAAAAAACCCCCAAACAATAGTGAAACTATAATAATAGAATGTATTTTTCAAAGATGAGAATTATTTTGGCGCTACATAGATTTCATACTTTTAAATTTCTCTTGTTTGTGCTACAGATTAACATTTTTTAAAGTTTATTAAAATAGAAATAAACTGATCTGTGAATCATAACAAATGTTTTACTTTGATTTTTTAAAGTTTTATTTTAATTATAGTTAGGTGCTTTGTACCTTGGTGGAAAACCGATTAAAATATAGTAAATTAATTATTCATGATGACTACAGTGAGAGTTCCAAAATTGCACTTGTCTATTGGCAAATAGGTAGAAAGGAAGTGTAAATTATCTAACCAATTCCAGTCTGTTTTCAAGCCAAAAACTTTGATCTGTTTACTGCCAACTATTCAGTGGGAACAGGATGAACATAACTCATTAATCTCATGAATATCAGTCTAATCAGTATCATTTCATACTCCTAATATTTGTATCTTACTAGAATGTTTGGGAATTGGAATCCTATTTCTGAGACTTATTTCATGGTTAGTTTCAGTGAACAGTATTAATAGAGTTCTGTTCACTTTCAAGGCAAATGAGATTGTGAAGTCTTGAAGAGTTTCATAATTTTTCCTCAGTATGGCAATCTATCTTCCCATTCTGTATGAATTGGGTGGGATATGGGTTGACTGCTGGTGGCTGGAGAAAATGATGAGTTATTTCACACTAATAAATTGATGTATATTGCAGTAACTATGCCTAGTTGCAGTAACCATGGTATTCATACCATAAATTTAGTATAACCAAAATTGAAAGTTTCTTTCTCTTGTCCTTGCATCACAGCGGGCTGAGAAGCATTGATTTCTTACTGGGAGTAACAGTTGATTCCCATGGATTGTTATTGTAATGGACTATGCCTTTTTCTGACCATGCCCATTCAGACAAGAATAAGCCTCTGCCTATTAGGCATGAACTCTTGAAGTTGCTTTTGATGGAACCTGGCTTAGTTATGGGAATAAAAACTGAAGGATCGTCTCCATGTAAGCAGCCTTAAGGAAGAGGTATTCATAATAGACTGCTTATGCTGACAGCAAAATGACAAGCTTTGACATTGTCAAATAAATAAAATAGCTATGCACTTGCATCAAAATTATCTGAAGTACTTGTGTTGGTTGCATAGTGATGATAATGTTCATCCATCATGTTTGAAGAAGACCTTAACATCTAACAGATTGTGGGCTGTCCACAATGTGTCCACAGGTGGCTGGTAAGGCCTATACAAACACAAATATTCTGCCGCATGACTGCAGACATGTGTGGGCACCATTGTTGGAGCATTTGCAGCTCTGGCTTTGCGTGCTCGCTTCTCATGTGCTATGGTTGTTCTTCTGTCCTCAGATGTCTGGCAGTCTTGGTGGATCAGCCATGTTGATTGATCGGGTTTCCCAGGAGGTGATGTCAATATCCAGGGACTTGAAGGAGGCTTTCAACGTGTCTTTGTATCGCTTCCTTGTCCCCTGTGCGATCGCTTTCCTTAGACAGCTCACGATAGAGGAGCTGTTTGGAGATGCGATGGTCTGGCATCCTTGCAACATGTCCTGCCCAGCGTGTAATATCATTATACATGTAGCATCATTGTCTTCCTCCTTCTTTTGCCACCATAAGCATCACACTATGCGCTCCTAATGGAAAAGCAGGCTATCTATAAATTAATAAAATAAATGTCTTTATTGAACCACAAGTTTGAGTTATAGGGAATTAGGTATTTTCTGTCTTGAATTAAATATTTATATTTTTAAATCTCTATGGTGTATTCCTTAAGCATTTTAAAACTAAATTTCCTTTGTAGCCTTACTACAGCTTTTTTCTGTTTTTTCACCACTACAGGAGATGGTGGGAATATTCCATCAAACAGCACACATGTGTGTTTTTAATTGCACATAAAAACTAGTTCTGGATCAAATTCTGCAGCTGAGGCCAATATTATTCTTTAAGAAAAATACTGAGTTGCTTATTTATTATGGTTGTTTGAGTTCCCTTTTGTTCCTTTGTTTGGAATAATTTCCATTTTCTGAAAAGAAAAAAAAGCTGGTAACAAGTAGGTATTTTCATTTCCAGAAAGATTCACTCATCTTACTATTCTTTTTCATTCAAGTTTTGAAGTCATTTTAAACAATTTAACCTTATCGCCTAGAGCACAGTGAAGATTAAGATATATAATGGATATCCTGCGCAGCTCTGCTAGATTTCTATTTCCTTTGTCAGATCTTATTATTGTTTACTTAGAATGTTATTTACTGTTAATATGAGGAAGGATTGTGATTATTTTTTATTCCTTGCCCACTTTCTACCGTAAACTTAGCTTAGTCCTCTGTTTAAAATCTTATTACTGCAGAATTTTGTCAGTAGAACTGAGTCTTGCTTCTTATTTATAAGGCTTTGTAACTGAAATAGGAAATAGAACATGGACTATAGAATCATAGGGCTAGAAGGACCTTGAAGCTCTTCTTTTTTATGTTTTTATTTTATTCAGAACATAGTTAAAATTGGAAACACAAAACTCGATAAAAATCCAAGAAGACATAAATGAAAAAAAAATCACAAAACAGTGAGAATATTAAAAAGAGTGTATCAAAAAGAAACACATTATACACATTATCCTCTGTAGCTAAATACTGATTAATACATTACTACAATTAGTTCCCTAATACCGCATAACTGAGTGAGCTTCTGTTACTTCTCCCAGTTACTTGTCCCAGCTTCTACTAACCTAGCAGTTTGAAAGCATGTAAAAAGTGCAAGTAGAAAAATAGGGATCACCACCTTGGTAGGAAGGTGACAATGTTCCATTCGGTGGTTAGTCATGCCGGCCACATGACCACAGAGACATCTTCGGACAGCACTGGCTCTTCAGCTTTGAAACTGAGATAACCACTGCTCCCTAGACTCAGGAACAACTAGCACATATGTGCGAGGGGAACCTTTACATTTACCTTTTACAATTATTTCTCATCCCTAACAACTCATTAACCTATCTTCTATATGCTATATTAGTAACAAAGTAAGCAGGAAAAAGAATAATAGTAAAACAGAATACAAAGTTTTAAATATCTCTGTTAACAAGCTGTTTGTCAGGCCTGTAGTTATGTTCCTTTTAGGATCTTTGGCCTGACACACTTTCTATTATTTCACTATGCTGTTTCATTGTGTAGTAATTGGGAGGGGGGAATAGAAAGGAGTAGAATTGTGGAATGTTTTATTGTCATTCCTTTCTAGAAGCCAAGGTCATCTTTGTCTCCGCCCCTCTGCACCTGACCAGAACCAGCTGGGTGGAGATGCCACCATGGCCGAAGAAGATTGGACCATGTGATGGATTTATGGGTGTGGGGATAAGATCATGAACTTTCAACTGGGTGGAATCCCAGGAAGTTTTCAGAATTGGGATTTTCCACAGATGTGCCAACATGTCTGACTTATTAAATTGGAACTTTAAGGATAGCTCTGCCTTGGACTCTGATTTAATTCTGCATTATATTTGGAACGCTGACACTGTTATTGTAATCCATCCATAGAAAATTTACCACAGCATCTATCCCTAATCATTCCAAAAGTTATAAATACATCATCCTGGATCAAAAAACCATGTTTGATTCTTAATATCCTCCCTTGTCAATTGTTGGTTAATTAAATGTAATAAATTCAGCCTCCAGAATATGCCTTATCTTCCATCCAGTCTCCCTTCATCTTCGTAGAACAAGGGGATTTCTTTATAGAGAAAAGGAATTTGTCTCCCTCTCTTGATATTGTGTTTGTGGAGAGATAAAATCAGCAAATTTCTCCACAAACACAAGACAGCCTTCGGCACTGACCAAAAAATAGCCAACATCTTAAGAAGCCCCAAAGTCAAAATCCAGCTAGAAAACCAAGGAGTCTACGAAATACCATGCAAAATCTGCCCTGCAACATACATAGGACAAATGAACAGGAGAATAAATGCACACATCGCAAAACACAAGAACGCAGTAAGAAAAATGAAAAAAACCTCCTCCCTTTTCCAGCACCTTAAAGCTACAGGACATGAAATTAATTTTGAAGAAACCAGGTTAATCTCCAAAACCAAACACTTCAACAAGAGAATAATTATGGAAGCTATCAAAATAGAGAAACACCTCCATAACATGAATAAACGTGACAATACCTCCTGCCTACCAGACATCTGGAAACCAGCTCTAGTCAACAAACAAGCCCCACCCACCACCCAGGCCGTTACAACATGAACAACAATAGACACACAGCCAGCACCAATCAGCACCAATTTACCAATCATGATACAACCACACAACCAATCATTCCACTTACTGAAACAAAGCCAGCACTCCAGACACCTCCACCAAGATTTATAGAAAGATGGCAGCTCCGAACGTTGCCAAGACAATCTCAATCTTACACGGGAAAAGACCTGAACAAGACCAGCATATATTCAATATTTCAATCCAAATTATAAGAAAAACTCAATAGAAATAAACTCTAGGTATTTTGCAAATAAAAAAAATACAGAATTCAGTAGTGATATATAATATCTCTTCACCATACTCACTGAACATTGCCTGCTTTCCATATGGAAGGGACAGAGGTTATCCAGAACAACATATGATCAGAAGGAAAAAGAGAAAAAGCAATTAGAGTCCAGCAAAGGGTTGAAATAAGTCAACATTCAACCACTGATCAACTTTTAAAACAAAAAGCAAAATAAAACAATAAAATCAAAAAGTGAAAGTTAAAATCCCAGTATGCTTATAAAATGAAGTGCTTAACAGGCAAATTGATATGCCCACTGACTTTCCAATAACTTCCAGAGGGAATTGGAGTCTTCAAGATCCCCCTTCTCCACTGATCCACAATCGTCCAAAGTCATCTTGGATCACTCTTAGTGCTACCCTTCAAAACCAGGGAGCAGCACTGCCAAAGAACCAGCTTTAGCAGTGAAATTAGTAGATCGCCACTAAGAGAAAAAAGAAAACCTCACTGAGCAGCAGCCATCTGGAATGAAGAGGCACGGCCTTGAAGATCTTGTAGTCCAACATCCTGCTCTATCATCTTATATGATCCTAGTCAAATGTTTGTCCAGTCTTCCAGTGATGGAGCACTCACAACTGCAGGAAGCAAGCTGTTCCATTGATGAATTGTTCTACTTTCAAAAAATCCCTTCTTCTAGTTTGGATCTCTCTTTCACAAGCTTCCACCCATTACTACTTGTCCTTCCCTCTAATGCTTCAGACAGCACTCAAGTACTGGAATTAATGGATGGATGGATAGAGGGATGGACAAATGAATGGGAAAGTTATTTTACTAATCTTTACTAATCTTTACTATTCTAATATATATCCCCTGCATAAGATTGCTTTTTAAAAAAATGTTTTTTAAAATATCCTTGACATGTTAAAGCAACAATGTCCACAAAAGAATACAAATGATAGGTTTTTTTTTTCATAACAGGGAAGAAGGCATGGGTAGCACTTTCTAAAACTAGACTCTGCAAAGAAGACATTTTTTTCTTTACAAAATTTTAATTTTCCTTTGTTGCCTATTGTACACATTTCTAAGATGTTACTGCTTCTTAACAATAGCACTTATATACTGCTTCTTAGTGCTTTACAGTCCTCTTTAAGTAGTTTACAGGGTCAGCATATTTTCCCCAACAATCTGGGTATTCATTTTACTGGCCTTGGAAGGATAGAAGACTGAGTCAACCTTGAGCTGGTGAAAATCAAACTGCTGGCAGAATTAGTCTTCAATACTATGTTCTAACCACTGCGCCACTACAACCACCAATTCCGCTTTTCTTTGTCTTTTTACTTAAACAATTTCTTATTAACTCTTGCATCGTAATCTTTGCACACAATCTAAAAGTATTTAGATATAAAAGATATATATGTATGGTCAAGATTTTTTATGCTGTTCTTGACATATGAAATATTGAAGTATTTTAGTGTTTATTTAAATTTATGGATAGTTGAAGTCAACAATACATGCTGTATTTAAATGTGAACTTGGCTTAGCCGGTTAGCTGTTTCACTGTTGAATGCCTAATTCTCATTATTTGTGTGGAAGATACAAGTTATTCACTACATTTATTTTGTGTTTCAAAGTGAGAACAAGCCTTTAAAACTGTTGATGGAAGAACACAGAAAACTGTGAAACCCAAGTGTAATATAGTTAAACAATATATCCAAAATCCTTTGATAATGGCCTATTCTGATTGCCTTTTCACCTTATTTTGCCACTAAATTGTGTATTCTTGTTCCCTAGAAGAAATGGGACCTCAGTCCATTACAGACAATGAGCCATAACTTTGGAGGCTGAGTCATTTTCAGATTTTAACTTCTCTTTCCATCTTGCCCAAGTCTACTCCAAAATGCTTTTTTGAAATACAAGAAACAAAACAATTGCCTTATTCTTTTTTTTCTATTTGTAGTGCAGAGCTTTTGTCCCTCAACTTATATTTATTTTATTTCTAGATTGTCAGTAGAGAGAAGAAATTGGAATTGTTTGCTCCCCAGCTTATACCTTCATCTCCAGTGAGTACTTTATCTTCATTTGCTCTTCAGATAGTACATCTCTCTTTTTCCAGTCCTTCTTTCCTATTCTTTAAATAACTGAGCTCATATTAGTTAGTCCAATAGATGAAAACAGGCTCATAAAGTGGTGATGTATTTCATTTGAAGCTGTGATTCATGTTAGTGCCTTCCTGTGCCTTGTTCACTTTAGTTGCAACCTTTTAATCTTTCAAAAGACTTCCTGCGTCAAAGCAGTGTTTTGTAATTTGATTGGGAAATGAAAAACAGAAGAAGAGCTGTATAATAGCTGCTGAATGAATCTTCCTATCTAGAATGTTGTAACATGATCACCTGAAAGGCTTGACACCATTTTGCCATGTGGAAGATGAAACGAACAAACAAACACACACACACACACACACACACACACACACACACCAAAAAGGCAAAAGAGTGTGAAAGTACATCTCTGTCAGCTTTTAGTTTTTTAGACTGCAATACATTTTGTTATAGTTTAACGTGAGCTCATGAATGAAATGTGGAATATAAATCTAACAAAAGATAATCTTTAAATTACAAAGGCAATTGGGACCAGAATTTCCATTGCTAAGCAGTCAGGAAGCACATTGTTACCTGAATGCAATGCTTAGTAACAGTAATTCACAAAGTTCCAATTGCTGGTGTCACCTGCCGACTGTATGGGTCATTAAGAGGGAACCTCATGAGAACCCAACTTCCAACTTGTTACCAACTTCACCCATTGACTTGGCTTGTGGGATGATGGCAGGGAATGCTAAAAGCCATAATTAGGTGTCCACAACTCACTGTGATATCCTAATTGACTACTAGACACTAAGCATCCAGATCACAATTTCAGGACTACAAGGACACTCTGATGGCCTGAACTCCAAGGACCAGCCCCGAACTCCAAGGACCAATTGTATATTACACCCAAAATTATTTTGTAACATTTGGCTAATATAACAACAAACTTTTCTATTGAATTACGATATTTAGAAAAAATCCTAATCAGCTGTTTTAGTTGATTGGTGTAAAATGTAGAGTAGCTGTGTTAATTTCTCTATTATATGGGATAATGAGAGTCATTGCAATCCACCTGAAGACAGGTAAGAAAGTAACAACTAAAATTGGATAAAACTGCAAAGCTTTAAAGGAATGCTTTTGTTTTTGATGAAATTTCAGAATTATTTTCTAGAAGGATGAAGTTCTTGCTCTTTTGCAATATAGCTGTTGCTATGAAAAGAGGCTGAAATAGCTATTCTTCAGCAAGGTTAAGACATGCCTTCTCCTGCAGAGTGGCCAACGTCAAGTCGTGTGGCTGCATTACTAGAGGAGAAGCATATGTCTCAGAGGCAGTCCATTGACACTTTCCATTGACTAAATTTTGGCTAGCATGTCTTGAAAAAGGCAAGCCAAGAAACTCTTCCTCTCTCTCTGGCTTCCATTGGTTAAAGTTTCTGGGCAGTGCATCAGAGGGAGGCAAGTTGATAGTGGTGCTCACCAATTTCTTTTTGTTGCCAAGTGGTCAGATCTCCTGCTTGTAGGTGGTCATTTATTAAAAAATATTATGTGCACTTGCTTCAGGGATGGGTGCTGGTGCTGGAATAGTTTATGCTTTGACTCTTACTTATTTAGGACCACAACTTTTTTATTGACCTGAATACTCAAGAGGTAACATAAACAACTTAGTCGGGACTATGAAATATTTTCAACCTATGAGATGACAAAATAGTTTGCTGAATAGACATAATCCTTGCTTAACAATGGTAACTGGAACTGGAATTTCCATTGCTAAACAACATAATAAAAAATGTTATGTCACATGACTGCATAGCATAATGCTGGCAGTCCCGGCAGTTACCATTGCTATCATTAAATGAGAATTACAATCATTATGTGAGGAACATAGGGATGTGGTGGCTTAGTGGTTAAGACACTGAGCTTGTCAATCAGAAAGGTTGGCAGTTAGGCAGTTCAAATCCCTAGCGCTGCATAATGGAGCTCCCATTACTTGTCCCAGCTTCTGCCAACCTAGCAGTTCTAAAGCATGTAAAAATGCAAGTAGACAAATAGGAACCACCTTTGGTGGGAAGGTAACAGCGTTCCGTGCACCTTTGGCATTTAATCATGCTGGCATCTTGACCACGGAGACGTCTTCGGACAGCGCTGGCTTTTTGACTTTGAAACGGAGATGAGCACTGCCCCTTAGAGTCAGGAACAACTAGCACATATGTGCGAGGGGAACCTTTACCTTTATATGAGGAACATTGCTGCCATATGGGAGAGTCTTACCAAAGTGATTTGCAGCCTTTTCTGCAACCTTCCCCATTGACTTTGCTTCTGGGAGCTGACAGGGAAGGTAGCAGATGGCAATCACAGTGCATTGCACAGGGCATTGCAACTGGTGTTACTATGAGCTGGTTGCCAAGTTCCCAGATCGTGATCACAGGAACATTGTGACAGCTAGAATTTCAAGGACTGGTTATAAGTACCAATCATTCAGCGCAACTTTGAACAATCACTGAGTAAATGGTCACTAAACAATGACTATATGTAAAACAACGTGTGTCCATGATACATGTACATGCAATGGACAGGAGTACTAATCACATTGTTCTGTCATTCCTTCTTTGTAAGATGTAACAGGTACAAAGGCAAAGGGATGTTTCACACTATTCTTTTTAAAAAATGTCATTTTACTATTAATTTCATGATTGTTTCAAGAGATTCAGTCTGGATGGGTATTAGATCTGACTTTGGTTCTTGATCATTGAAAAATACTCCTAAGTGTTTCTTGTTTGAGTCAGTCATTCAAAATGCACCCATACGATTTTCAGCATGAAGGCCTGAATCTGAAAAGTGACAAATACGAATTTAGTGTATTTTCTATTGTCAAAAATAAAAATTGGTTTATAAAATTGGCAATGCATTTCCATTTGATTCTTGTTTTAGTTCTTTATTCAATTGGGCAATTGATAACTCCGAGATTAAATGAAATGTGGTGCCAGAATGAAGAATTTTTCTGGTCTGTGCATTTGTACTCTCTATCTATCTCATCCATTCCATTGCCATCCCATGTGCAATTTATACTGTCTTTTGCTTCTCACATATTTTCTCATCTTGGTGAAACATGTACTTTCAACACATTGTCCAATTCCATGAGAAACCATAAGGTTCCCAGAAGTACACTTAGATGTAAGATCTGCTGGAGGTTTTGTGTTTTGAGATTTGCTTTATAATATTTTCCCTCCAGTCAAGGCACATTCAGAGCCTTCACTAACCATTTTGGGAGTCTTGATTTAGTTAGGAAATTTAAAGACAAAGTACAATAAATTGTTGTGAGCTTAACAATTGAATACAAATATACAAAACATAATTTCCAACCTACCAGTTTTCATCATGCACCCAGTATATATTTATTGATTTCTACTGGACTCCCACAATGGTCAGGACTACAGAGAAACACTCTAGATTATCATTATGTCACAGAGTCTCCCTGTGTAAGAAATATAGAATAATTGAAATGCTTTCTGTAAAACGGAGTGTGAAATGTAATGTAACTCTCTTTTGATAGAAATGAGGTAATTTAGCAAGAGTGCTTAAGCATTGATCGAACAAACATCATATCTGACATAGCTACTGCTATACCTATTGGCATATGATGTAAGGCACTTTTCTGGTACAGATTGTGTTAACATACTTTGCAGTTAAAGAAACAATTAAATTCCACAATTACATTTTCAATTGGGATTATTCTGAGTTTATTTAGTCAGAAGCATTTGACTAGGCTTATGCATTTTAAGGGGGCTGAAGATGAATGTTCATTAGATTTTTTGGGAAAGTTATGTTAAAACAACATTTCATGAAAATACTCATATGTATTCATTGTTTTTACTTGTAAAATGCCTTTTATGTGTATTATATGTTAATATACATTTTGATTTGATTTTCATTCTTTCATAGTATTTGTTAAGTCAATCTGATATATGGTGTCAGAAAATTATGGCCAAAGATTCTTCTGAATGTTATTTGCCTGAATTACAGCAACATGATGTTTCTATTAAAATGGAACTCTATAAATTAGGTATTCTTGCAAGAGGGGCTATCTTATTATTTTTATTATACTCTGTTAATAATATTCCAAAGCCTGGCTAGGCATAATATAAAAACCACTAGAGACTGTGGTTAAAGTCTTTGCTTAAAATAATAAAAATAGTACTCCTTTATTTCATTTCCGTAGAAGGAATTTATATATAATTTATAAATTATATATACATTAATTTATAATTTCTGTTGATGAGTAAATTTTGTCCCATTTTATGTCATTCCTTGCCACAGTTGTTAAATGAATCAGTGAAGTTGATAAGTAGGCAACACAGTTGTTAAGTGAATCTGGCTTTCCCATTGATTTTGCTTGTCAGAAGGTCATAAAATGAGATTACATAACCTTGGGACACAGCAACAGTCATAAGTATGAACCAGTTGCCAAGCATTGAATTTTGATTACATGATCATAGGGATGCTACAAATGTCGTAAGTGTAAAAAATGATAATAGATCACTTTTTCAGTAACATTGTAAGGTCACTAAATGAACTGTTGTAAGTCAGGGAGTACCTGTATTTCTTTTAGCAAAAATAACTAAAATCATTAAACTTTAGCAAAACTTATCATAGTAATATGATAGCCAGTAGTTTGTGATATGACACAACCATGACATTGCAGGCTAACAAAGATAGAACATTCTTTTGAAGTTTACTGAACTTTTTAATGCCAAATATTTGATAGAACCTATACACTGCAGTGTAAATTTGAAATGATTTCTTTGAGTGTTGGTTTATATTTTAGTTATTTTTAGTTAAAAAGTAAGTCTAGAAATCTAGAATCATACAAATTGAAGGGATTATAGAATTCAATCAACTCTAATTGTCAGGCCTGCAGCCGGTTCCTTTTAGGATCTTTGGCCTGCCACACTAATATTCTTTTCTACTATGGGGAATTG